GCTTCAAAACGAGGACCCAGCACCACAGGATGGTTGGGAAAAAACGGTGCCGACAACCACCATGGTGCTTCGCAATAATATGAACACGTGGGGCATTATCGTAAGACGAGAAACCACAGAAGAACGGTTTTTTAACACACGCGTGCGAATACAAGAACGGCTCGCCCGTATCAACGCTGGTCGATCCCCTCCGTCTGCTGCTGGGCGCCCCGCGGGAAAGTCGATGTCCCAGAACCCTGGCGGGTCGGAGCAACCGACTCATCGCGCCCCCCCCCCCCCCGTCGCGTCTGGCTCCACCTGCAAGCATGGATCATATCAACGCGCGAAGAGGATGAGGAGTCATACTCCAGGGTGTCGGATATATCATCAAGCGTCGAACGGGCCGGCCTCACCGCAACCCGAGAGCGGGGCTCGGCGAGAAGAGGATGAGGGGGAGGACGAGGGGGAGGACGCGGTGGAGGGCTAGGGGGAAGGATGAGGGGGAGGACGAGGGGGAGGATGAGGAGTTGGAGGCCCCTGCAGCAAGGGAGGAGGAGGAGCGCCACGCCTTGCCTTGAGAGGGGGGAGGGAGGTCCCAGCTCCTGCTGCTGCAGCGGCCTGTCGCGGCATGGCGTAGGCGATGGTCATGGCCAGATGCGGGCGGGAGGCGACGCGACGGAGGGGGCGGCGGAGACGAGAGGAGAGAAGGCACACGCACGAGATGTGATGCAGCAAGGGAGGAGTAGGAGGAGGAGCAGGAGGAGGAGCAGGAGGAGGTGGAGGAGGAGGAGGAGGAGGAGGAGGAGGAGGAGGTGGAGGAGCAAGCGGAGGAGGATGAGGAGGAGCAAGCGGAGGGGGAGGACGAGGCAGAGGAGGCGGAGGACGCGTGAGCGGAGGAGAGCGACGAGGACGAGGACGAGGGGGGAAAGAACATGCGCCGCCGAGGTGCCGCGCGCCACTGCCTGGCTGCCGAGGGCCGCCTCCACGCCCCCGCGGAGACGACCGGGCGCCTGCTGCCTGGGATCGGGCCTCCCACCCGAGAGGCCGCCCAAAGTGCGGCCGGAGTAGGTTCGGTGTGCTGCCGGGGGTGGCCCCTGGCCCAAGGTGAAGGGGCCCAGGACACACAAATAGATACACACAAATGAAACTATTCCCCGCATTTTCCCATATTTTATGGGTTTTTGTCTTCCCCCCCAGTTCCTATATTTTCCCATCTTTTCTGGGGGGTCGACGATTAATTGTCTGTGTGTTTCTTTCCCTCCTGACAAGGTGGCTCAGCTTTTCGAGGGAGGCCCAGGCGGCCCCCAGGGCACCCCCTTGCGAGGGCCAGAGGGCCCCATGGGGTTTCAAAACGGCGCGATGCCGTCCTTGGCGTAAAAAAGCGCCCACCAAGCGGAGCATCCCACGCTCATGCGTTGAGAACCCCCGCGCTCCCCAACGCCAATGCTGAAAACTGGGTGTCTGCGGTGCGCTCCTGCGCTGGCCGCGAAGGCAACATTGAAATGAGTGCCCCCGGGAGGGCCCCCGACTAAGCAACACCTTCGGGTGGGCGTGTTTCGCGCCAGCAGCTGTGAGCTGGTGGGGCACCCTGGGCCAAGGCAACCCTTGGCAGTCCCCGATGGGTGTGGGCGCAGAGTCACAGCGCATCGCCGATGCACGGGCGGCGCGTCCGCCACAAAAATCTATACACAGACGCCCTCTTGAGAATCTTTCCCAAGGGCGGCGGTGTATACATCACCACTGCGAGCCAACGGTCACCCGCCCACCCTCCCTTACAGGCACATGGAACACTCGTCGAGGGTGTCTGTAAATATTTTTCCGTGGCGCAACGTAGGGTCACACCACCACTCTCGAGCAGGGACCGACCGTCCCGGCCGTCCTGTAGGCCAACCACGAGAGGTTCTGAGGACCCCAACATGTTTTAATAACAAAACAACTGTTCTTAGAACGTGAGCCCGATGTTTTAACACACGACGGCCTCAGCCAGAAATGGTTCTACGAACACACCTCGTGCAGACCACAAGAAAAAAAAGCTCTCAGAACGTTCCCTGGTGGGCCTCTAGGCAAACCTGGACGCTTCGCCCCTGCTCGCCACTCACTCGGGCTCCGGCCCCCGCTCGGGCGGCCCGGACGCGGGCTCTCAGGCTCGGGCCCGCGCGCTGTACACCGCGGGCTCGGGCCGGGCCCGCCGCCCCCCCCCCGCCGCGCGCGGCCGGACTCGGGCGCGCGGGCTCCCCCCGCCAGGGCAGGAGGAGGAGGAGGAGGAGCAAGAGGAGGAGGGGAAGGGGGAGGAGGAGGGGGAGGAGGAGGAGGAGGAGGAGGAGGAGGAGGAGGAGGAGGAGGAAGAGGAGACAAAGGAGGAGGAGGAGGAGGAGGAGGAGGGGTGGAAGCGCGGCGGACGACCGCGGAGGCGCGCGCGGGCGCGCGCGGAAAACTCTGCCCAGGCGGCCCCCGGAGCGGAGGGCCGCGCTCTGGGGCCGCGGCCGCGAGAAATCCTGCCGCGCGGCGCTGGGGCGAGGTCCTCAGGGGGGGGGGCGCGGGGGCGGATCGTGGGGGGCGGGAGGCTTGGGGGTACGAGGCGGCCTGCTCCTCCTGATCCTGCTCGTGCTCCTGCTGCGCCTGTTGGTGCTCTTGCTGCTCCAGCTGGTGTCTGCATTGTGCGCGGGACGCTCGCAACGAATGGTGCGAACGCGGTAGCCTTGCCGCCTGTCGGCGGTTTATCGAAGACGCCTACGGCGAATCACCGCCGCACCCCGCCTTTTGGCATCGCCCATGTGGCCGACCGTTGTGGCAAGAGCTCTGCCAAGCTATCGGGCCATGTGTTCCCCCAGGCGTTGTAGAAACCCTTCGGGGAGAACTTTGGGGAAGATGGCGGGGAAGTTCCGGAGGAGGAGGGGGCATCTTGGGAGCCTCTGGGGGCACTCTTGGGGCCTCCAGGGAGCATCCTGGGAGCCCATTGGAGGCATCTTGGGGGCCTCCTTGGGCCTCTTGCGGGCCTTTGGGGGCTTCTCGGGGTCCTCTTCCTCTTTGGACGTCTTACGTAGGTATCTTTTCTCTGGGTCGACTTGGGGTGCTACTGGGTGTCTTCGTGGCTCCTTGGGCCGTATTGGGGCCCTCTTGGGGCAGTCTTGGGGGTCTCTTGGGCCGTTCTGGCCATCTTGGAGGCCTCAAGGGCGATCTCGGGGCGATCTTTGAAGGCTCTTGGGCCGTCTCCGGCCTTCAGAAGACCGAACAAACATGAATACCAACATCCTTGAAAAACCTATAAGTAAGTAATGATTTGGGCCTCTTCGGGCCTTCCTGGAGACCCTCTTGGGCGCCTCTTGAGCCATCTCAAAAACCTCCTGGGGGCCTCTTGGGCCGTCTTGGACCATCTTCGAACCATCTTGGGCCGTTTTGATGGCTTCCTGGAACTTTTGACGCCGTCGGAAGCCGTCTTGAGACTTGGAGGCCATCTAGGGCGTCTTGGAAGCCCTTGGGCCGTCTTGGGGGCCTCTTGGGCCGTCATGGGGTCATCTTGGAAGCCTCTTGGGCTATCTTGGGTCGATATTTGGAGGTTCTTGGGGCGTCTCGGGCCATCGGAAGACCGAAAAGAAGCAAATGCTTCAAACACCTTTTGAACATCATTGATTTTGACCTCTTCGGGGCTTCCTGGAGGTCCTCTTAGAAACCTTTGGGGCCGTCTTGGAGACCTCTTGGGGGCCTCTTGGGCCGTCTTGGGCCATCTTGGGCCGGCTTGGTAGCCCCCTGGCCTACCTGACGCCCTCGGAAGCCGTTTTGGGGGACTCTCTGGGCCGACTTGGCTTCGGGTGCTCCATGGCCGTCTTGGAGGCCATATTGTGCGTCTTCGAAGCCCCTTGGGCCGTCTGGGAGTTCTCTCGGGGCAGTCTTGGGGGTCTCTTGGTCTGTTTTGGGTCCATCTTGGAGGCCTCTTGGGCGATCTTGGGGCGACCTTTGGGGGCTCTTGGGCCGTCTCGGGCCGTCGGAAGGCCGAAAAGAAGCAAATGCCCAAATCCTTCAACAAATCTAAGGCGCACCAATGATTTCGGCCTCTTTGGGGCCTTCCTGGAGGCCCTCTTGGAGGCCTCTTGGGCCGTCTTGGAGGCCTCTTGGGAGCCATCTTGGGCCCTCTTGGACAGGTTTGGAGGCTTTTTGGGCGGAGTTGGAAGCATCTTGAGCCCTCTTGGGACGTCTTGGAGGCCATCTCGGATCATCTTGGGCGAACTTGGAGGCCATCTTGGACCATCTTAGGCGAACGTTGAGGCTATCTTGGCTGTCTTGGAAGCCATCTTTGGCCGTCTTGGAAGATTCTTTCTGGTTTTGTGGTCCTCTCGGGTGGCCGGCGGGACGGGCCGAAGCCCCAGGGGGAGCTCTTCTGGAAAACGAACATAACCGAACCAATAAGATCTAACACGCCGGGCCCTTGTGGCAAGACCACAAAGGGCGGCGGATACAGTGGCCCTCGGTCCATCCCGCCACCGTGTCTGGGTCGTGGATGCCTCTCGGAAACATCTTGGAAAGCTCTGGCAGGCCCCTTGGGCCCTCTTGGAGGCCTTCTAAACGCCTCTTGGATGCCTGACGGCCTCGGGAGCCATCTTGGGGCGGAGGGCTCGTCAATTGGGGCTCCCCCTCATGGACCTGTCTTGGGGGTCTCTTGGGCAATCATGGGACCTTCTTGGGTCGTCGTGGGGGCCCTCTTTGGGGCCTCTGGGGCGGTCTTCAAGGCTTCTTGGGTCGTCTTGGATCGCCAGAAGCCCCGAACATCCAAAAGGCTTACAGTCTTAAAACAAACCCATGGGATATCAATGATTCCATCTTAGACGGCCTCCTGGGGCCTTCCTCGGGAGTGCTGGGGCGTACTGGAAGCATTTGGCCCATCTTGACTCCATCGTGGGCTGTCTTTGGGCCGTCTCGGCGCTCTCCTGGACTGTCATGGGCGCTGCTCAGGCTCTCGGTCTTTCTGGGCGGGTTCACCGTCCTGGAGGACGACAACACACCCGGGGAGCATTTGGGAACGCCGGGGAACTCAGTGACATCCGTGGCCTGGGCCCGTAAACAACAAAAACAACTCAGGATTCTGACAACTGTGTGAACCTCTGAGCGCTACGCTGCGTGCTGAAGGCACGGTGGTGGATAACACCTGTTTCATCAACGATGGCATTCCCAAGTCACTGCAGGCCTTCATTCTAGCAACTGCTGATCTTCCTCCTCCTCCTCCTCCTCCTCCTCCTACCTCCTCCCTATTCCTTCCTTCTTCGCCCCCCCTGCTTGGCTGGCAAGGCCTCGCCAAGGACTCCCCCGTCGGTCAGGGGCCGACCGGGCGGTCGGTGCCGCCAGAGGGGCGGGGCAGAAACACACGGGTGACCTCGAGGACTGGCCGAGGCGGGGCCCCTCTTGCTGGGCCTGGGGGGGCGCTTCCCCCAGGGGAGGGGGGCAAGCCATGGTGGGGCCGGGTGGGGATCCCAATCCCGCCGCGGTGTCAGTCCCCGCTGGTGTCGCAAGCCGGTGTCTGCGCCGTGCTTGCGCCGTGCGCGAACGTCTGCCTCTCTTGTCTTGTTGATGGCCTCCGGAGCCTCACGTGTCGTACGAACGCCTATCGTTTGTTTTGTGAAGGGCCTCTGGAGCCTTCGCGTGGGTCTTGCGCCCTTCGTGTGGGTCTTGCGCACCTCTGCATTTTTTGATGTTGCCTCTGAGCCTCACTTGCTTATTGTTCAGTCTCCTTCCCCTCGGCCTCGTTCGCCTGAGGTGAGGCTGGGCCCGCTGCAATTGCGGATTCGACCGTCGGGCCCAAATGGGCTCGGCGCTCACCCGGCAGAAAGGGCTTGACCCTTCCCTCGTGGACAGCCGAACCTCTCCTCCTCCTCCCTCCTCCTCCTGCTCCTCCTCCTCCTCCTCCTCCTCCTCCTGCTCCTCCTCCTCCTCCTCCTCCTCGCTCCTCCTGCTCCTCCTCCTCCTGCTCCTCCTTCCCCCTCCCGCTGCTCGTCTCGCTGCTGCTGCCATGCGACCCTCCTTCTCCCTCCTCTCCTCCACCAACCCCTGCTCTGCGCCAGCCGGCACGCTACCTATTACCCCCCGCCTCCCTCGCCTGTCCCGCCCCCCGGGTCAGGGCAGGGGGGAAGGGAGTGGCAGGGGTCGGGCATGCCGAAGCGGGGGCGCCAGGAAGAGGGGGGCCGACGCATCGCGGCCCGCGGCATGTGCGCGGACGAGGGGTGTGGACGGGGGGGCAGAGGACTGTCTTCGGCGGCGGGCGAGGGGGCGCAGTGAGAGAGAGAAGCCCGCCGGCCTTCCGAGAAGTTTTCCGCTGGGAAGCTCCTCACAGGGCCGAGGGGCTCCCGAGCCTTCTGAGGAGGGCCGCCCCTTCTCACCCCTCCCCCCCCCCGCGGGCTCGCCACCGAAAAAACTGGCAGGGCGGCGGCCGGCTGCGGCAGGTGCCGGCGCACGCTGGACCACCGCGCCAACGGGGGGGGGTGGGGGGGGTCTGGCCATCGCTCGGACGTCCATTCTCTGTGTTTTTTTCGGTTTCGTGCGTGGCTTTTTCGCCGAATGATCAGGGATGCTCCTCGATGGTCCTCGTCGAAGGAAAACTGCACACGTCCGAGCGATACCAAGGGGTGGGGCAGAGGCCTGTGTGCAGATGTCACGCCCTGGCCATGAGATCCAGGCGACCACGCCCAGCCCTCACCTCCGTCCTCGACGCCCGGTGGCCTGCGGGTCCCAGCTCGGGCCTCCGGCGGCCTCTCGGGACGACTCGGGCACCGTCGGAGAACTCCCGAGGAGGTGCAGCTGCTGGCGACAGCTTCCCCCCTCCCAGTCGCTACACCCCCTTTGCTTGGACGCCCCCGAGGGCAACCCCGGAAAGCCCTCGACGAGACGCAGCTGCTGGAAATACACGAGGCGAGAAACCCGCCAAGAACCAGCGACGGCTTCCCCCCTCCCAGTCGTTACTCCCCTTCTGTGGCCATTCATGCGAGTCTCCAGTGCCATCTTGCTTGCTCTTGCGGATCGACGCTAATCGAAGTTCATCGACGCTACATCGACGCTAAATCAAAGCTTTCTCTTTGAGTACTAGGCGCCAGAGCGCGCGAATGCACTTTAGAAATTGAACTTCGAGGGCATGCAAGGCTCCCATGAGTTGCTGCCGAACCCCCCTCTCCGCTCGGGCGCACGCTGACATGGGTTAGCGCCCCCCGAAGCATGCGGCCATGGCCGCCTGCTTTGGCGACGGAGCGCGCCGATTCCGTATGGAAGCTGTACCCGTCGCCAGTCCACGCGCCTTAATCCATGTTTGCTGCTGCTGCTGATGATGCTGATGCTGATGCTGGTGATGGTGATGATGGTGATGATGATGATGGTGATGATGATGCTGTTGATGATGCTGATGATGATGATGATGATGAGGATAATGATGAGGACGATGATGCTGATGAGGATGATGATAATGATACTGATAATGATGATGATGCTGATGCAGATGATGATGATGGTGATGATGCTGATGATGCTGATGATGCTGCTGCTGCT